GGAGCTGGACATTAACAACATGGAACGATGCTGAGGGATGCCATTTAGCCAGGGAATATGAAAGGACAGATGAGGTTTCTTGCAAGCACCTCTTCATTCATTGTGTGTTTATTTTGTAGCACAATTCAATGCAATAGTGTACAATTTATGCAAACAGAAAATTGATGGTTTACTGCTTCCTTTGCCTGATTTCCTGTTGATACTGTGGATGATGCAAAGTTCAAATGGCTCAGAAATTGTGCAAGATCCTATGCATGTTTCCCCTTTTACAGTTCAATGGTAAAAAGTGAAGTCATCATAGTCCTAGTGGACCATAGGGGCTTCTCTCTCATTACAGACAGGGAGAGATGACTGACTGGCAGTTTAATCTGAGGGTCATCATGCCTCAGGTGAGGGGAGACGTTTTGGCAAAAGAATTCTCTGCTATTCTGTGCATCAGGCAGACCCCAAAATATCACAGAGGCTTGAGACACCTTAGAGACTGGCATAATTTGTTATTCTTTTAATAGCACTGTGACATTCATATTATCCGTATGCCATTGTAAATATTACTTCATTCGCTCCGTTTGCGGATGTGAGTTTCAAAAGACGAAATTCACATTATTCCATTGGCTTTCCAAAACTGCCCTTGGGCATGGTTTATGTAATGTTATTATCTAAATTAAATGACTAACATTGCATTTGCAACACATTTACTAGTGGTCCCCATTGGCGGTTGTGTGTAGAAAACAAATAGAGGAAAATAGACCCCTAAAACACCAAAAAGCCAATAAGAGATAATAGGAACTGCAAAAAGCCAATAACATTTTCTGAATTGGTACGATGGCTCAGTGGTTAGCACTGCTGCCTCACAGCACCAGGGATCCTGGTTCAATTCCACCCTTGGGCGACTGTAAGTGTGGAGTTTGCACATTCTCCCCGTGTCTGCGTGGGTTTCCTCCGGGTGCTCTGGTTTCCTTCCACAGTCCAAAGATGTGCAGGTTAGGTGGATTGGCCGTGCTAAATTGCCTGTAGTGTTTAAGAATGTGCAGATTAAGTGAGTTACAGGGGGATGGGTCCGGGTGGAATGTTCTGAGGTCGGTGTGGACTTGTTGGGCCTAAAGGCCTGTTTCTACACAGTAGGGATTTGATGATGATGAATTGGGGTGTAGTACATGTTGACCAACTCACATCAAGCAGAAAGAAAAGTAGGCACAGTGAATTTGAACCTGAACCTTCTCCATCTAATCAACAGGATGATATTCATTCTGATTGTTGTTTGGAATCAGCTTTATTGCCACGCACTCACTCCATAACATTTATTGCTCCTGTCATCAGGAAGGGCTAATGGAATGTTGGCCCTTATTTTGAGGGAGTTGGAATATGAGTGGGGAAGTCACTGCAAGTGTACAAGGGGCTGGTGCGACCTCATCTGGAGCATTGTAGGCAGTTTTGCTCCACTTATTAAAGGAAAGAAATCACTTCATTGGAGGAAGTTCAGAGAAGATTTACGAGGATGATTTCCGGGGTGGAGGAATTGTCTTAAGAGCAAAGGCTAAACAGGTTGGGAATCTACTCACTGGAGTTCAGAAGAATGAGCAGTCATCTCATTGAAACATATAACGGCTTGACAGGGTCAATGCTGAGGGGATGTTTTCCCCTCATGGACCAGAGGTCACAGTCTCAAAATAAAGGGATGCCAATTGAAGACTGAGAAGAGGAAGAATTTTTTCTTTCAGAAGGTTGAGTGTCTTTGAAACTCCTTGCCAGAGAGAGGTGTGTTGAGGGGGATGTGGCAAAGTCCTTGAGTATGTTGAAAACTGAGGTAGATAAATTGTTGAACAGTCCGAGAATCAAGGGAAAGTGGACATGAGGAATGTGGGATTAGCCATAATCCTATTGAATGGTGGAACAGGCTTGAGGGGCCGAATGGCTTACTCCTGTTCCTATGTCTTATGGTGTTAAAACAATTTTCGGTAACACAACTCCTGCTGATTTCTGAGGTTAACAATTCCAAAGATTAGCAACCCTACCCTCTCCCACAATCACATGAGTTGAAGTTCCTCCTCCTCCTCATCGTAACTGTGGACCCATTCATCTGAATCTACCCCATTCCTGCTCTCCAGCTCCAGATTTCCCCAAGTGTCTCAACACCTTAGTATCTTTTTTTTAAATCACCTTTCACACATCTGATAAGATCACCTCTCTCGCATCTTAGCTGCCTTGTGAATTGGCCCAAGCTACATAATCTTTGACGACAATGTGCAACCTTTCAGCCCTGGAACCAGCCAAGTGAATCTTCTATGAATGTTCTACAATGTAACTGGATCTCTTGTTAAATAAGGGGACAAAGTCAACATGGCTAGTAGGTATGAGGCCTCACCAGTGTCCTGCAGCAAATTTCAAAATGTGATATTCCAATCGAGCTCGTAACAAAATCCACCATCTACTTGTCTCTTACAAAGCTTGCTGTGCCTTTATTCTTAAAAAAAACAGTTCCTTTGTATGATGGCTGCCAGATCTTTCTTTATCATAGTTGGATTATTGCTAGAGTGACTAGATCATGTTCTGGGGAATCTGTGTTGAAATCCCTCCATGGCAGATGGTGGAATTTGAAATCAATAATAATCTGGAAATCAGAGTTTAATGATGACCATGAGTCCATTGTTGATTGTCGGGGAAAGACTTGACTGGTTCACTGTTGTCCTGCAGGGAAGGAAATCTGCTGTCCTTACCTGGTCTGGCCTACATGTGACTCCAGACCCACAACAATGCGGTTGACTCTTAACTGCCCTTAGGGATGGCCAATAAATGCTGGCCCAACCACTGACACCCATATCCTATGAATGAATGGAAAAAATTCTCAGTACTCTCCCCATCTAAATCATACCCTGATAGTTAATTTGTACTATGTAATTGAATACTCCCATTTTCCTACATTATAATTCGTTTTTTTTTGCCAATTCACTTAATCTATCCCTAACCTGAAGAATCATCTTGTGAACTTCCAACACAATTTGTTGTCTCCATCTAAGTTTGTAAAGTAAAGCTTTTCACTACAATGCACTAAGTCCATTTATCCAGCTCATGATATTAATTGTAAACAGTACTGATCCTTGTGGCAGACCACTTATTACAATCTGATAATGGCCCAGTTAGCCAAACCTTATTCATACTGAAGTAAATACTCAAGAAGGTTAATGGAATGCTAGCCTTTATATATGGAGGACTGTAGTACAAAGACGTAGGAGTGCTGCTGCAGTTATACAAAACTCTGGTTAGGCCATTGGAGTAGATCAGGGCATCACACTTTAAGAAGGAGAGACAACAAGGTGCAGGGCTGGATGAACACAGCAGGCCAAGCAGCATCATAGGAGCAGAAAGGCTGACGTTTCGGGCCTAGACCCTTCATCAGAAAAAGTTGTGTTAGCCTTGGAAGGAGTACAATGTAGGTTCACAAGAATGATACCTGGTCTTCAGGGGTTATGTTATGCAGATAGATTGGACAAATTAGGCCTGTCTGTAGAATTTAGAAGGTGAAAAGGTGATCTGATTGAAGTCTTCAAGATATTAACAGAAAAATACAGGGTTGCTAAACTATTTCCACTGATTGGGGATTCTAGAACTAGGGAGGGCGTAGTCTGAGAATGAGGGCCAGACCATTCAGGAGAGATATTGGAAGGCAGTCCTACACATGGTAAGTGTTTGGAACTCTCTTCCACAAATGCCAGTGGATGCTGGATCAGTTGTTAATTTACAATGAGAGAGATAATTTTTAGGCAAAGAGTTCCCATATGGGCCACAGATCAGCCATGGACAGTGGAACAGACTCGAGGGGCTGAATGGCCTACTCATGTCTTCCTCTCTTTCACGTTTCCTAAATAATGGTTTAGGGGCTGTGAGAGTGAGATGGAGAGGTGGAGGTGCTAAAATAAGACAAGGAACTGCACACGATGAAGATCTGAACCAAGAACAGAAAGCGCTGGGAAAACTCAGCAGGTCTGGCACTGTCTTTGGAGAGAGAAAGCAGAATTAATGTTTTGAGACCAGTGACCCTTCTTCATGGAGATGGAGACAGTGCCCAGAGAGAAATGAGGGGAAAGCAGACAAAAGAACTGTTGATAGTTGTTGATAGGGAATGTTTACCCACCCCCAACACCTATAAGAGTTACTTTCAGCACTGCCGACCCATTGTCAACTCCTCATCAACTCTATTACCCAGCTTCTCTTCTTCCCTGTCTTCCTATTAACCAGCCTATGCTTTTGTCTCACTTTCTCTCTCTTTCTCTGTCTCTCTCTGGATACCATCTCCACCTATGTTTCACACTTGCACTCCCCCCACTCCCTTACTACCTTTTTCTAGATGTTTCTAGTTGTGAGGAAGGGTCACTAGCCTCAAAACGTTAACTCTTTTGTCTCCACAGTTCTGCCAGACCTTCTGAGTTTCTGTGTTGATTTGCTGAGTTTCTCAAGTCTAACTCAGATTTCTCCAATATGAATCCTTTTAGCTTTACCTCGACTGATGTCTGTTTCCCTTTTGATCATTCCTTTTCCACTACTCTCAGGATTTTGTTATTTAGTGTCCTCTACGATAAAGACAGACAGAAGAGGTTCATTCAGTTTGTCTGGCATTAATTTCGTCCTCGTTAATTCCACAGATTCTAGTACTAAGGGGCGTAGTCTAAAAATTAGGGCCAGGCCATTCAGGAGAGATGTTAGGAAGCACAATTTTTAAAAAAAACATGTTTATCGGATGTTGGTATCGCCGGCTGGGGCTGAATTTATTGATCGTCCTTAATTGCCCTGAGGGCAGTTAATGGTCAACTGCATCACTGTTGGTCTGGTGTCATATGTAGGCCATACAAGTAAGGACAATGGATTTCCTTCCCTCAAAGACATTAGTGAACCAAATAGATTTTTCCTGACACAGATTCATGATCATTATTAAAATCTTAATTCCAGGTTATTATTGAATTCAAATTCCACCATCTGCCATGGCAGGATTTGAACCCAGATGCCCAGGACATTACATGGGTCTCCAGATTAATAGTCTGGTGATAATACACATCATACAAAGACTAGTAGAGGACTGGAACTGTCTTCCACAAACCACAATGGATGCTGGTTGAGTTATTCATTTTAAATCTGAGAGAGATAATCTTGTTAAGCAGAAGTATTGGGGGGTACGGGCCAAAGGCAGGTCTATGGAGTTGGGCCACAGATCAGCCACGACTTCATTGAATGGCAGGCGAAACAGGTTCGTGGGGCTGAATGGCCTACTCCATTTCCTCGAATATTCTAACCTCTTCTATTTGCTTACTTCTTCATATATTTAGGACGTTATTAGTCTGTTTTTTTTCTGTTTATTTCTTGTGTACCTGCACGCTTTCACTTGTTCTTAATCTTTTCAGTATCTAATAGTTCCTCAATCTTCTGGCATGTAAATCTTCACAGCACTGGACCCTGTTTTTTTCAATGAGGTGTAGACTATTTTATTGTGACAAAACCTTCACAAACATCTCTATCTAAACGATATCTAACAACGACGACTCAAAATACAGAAGGGAGATAGAGGGCTTGGTGACATGGTGCAATGAGAACAACCTCTCTCTCAACGTTGGTGAAACTAAAGAACTGATCATTGACTTCAGAAAGAAAGGAGAAGAACACACCCTCATCTACACAAACAGAATTGACGTTGAGAGGGTGGAGAGGGTCAAGTTCCTTGGAGCGATGACAACCTATAACCTGTCCTGGACTTCCCAAATAGATGTGACAATCAAGAAGGCACAACAACACTTCTTCTTCCTCAGGAAATTCGGCATGTCCACAAGGACCCTCACCAACTTCTACAGATGCACCATTGAAAGCATACTGTCCGGGTGCATAATGGCCTGGTACGGCAACTGCTCTGCCCAGGACAGTAAGAAACTACAGAAGGTTGTGTGCACAGCCCAGACCATCACGGAAGCCAACCTTCCATCCATGGACTCCATTTACATGGCTCGCTGCCGCGGAAAGGCTGCCAACATCATCAAAGACCCATCACATCCCGGTAATGATCTCCTACAACCTCTTCCATCAGGCAGTAGATACAGAAGCTTGAACACTCGCACCAGCAGGTTCAGGAACTGCTTTTTTCTAGTCATTACCAGACTGATGAATGGACTGTGTAGCCTCAAATAATGCTGATCTTGCTGACATTGATCTCGCCTCGTGCAAGCCCTGTGCGATGTAACCTGAATGCCTCTAAGTCTTTTTGATCTGTACATCCTTGCTTACTATGATCTGCCTGTACTGCTCATAAACAAAGTTCTTCACTGTACTTCGGTACACGTAACAATAAATCAATCAATCAATCAATCTAAGCAGAATTGAAAATCTGAGTGATCCCTCTCTCTCTCGTACTGCAGCTGGGTCCATCTGTTGAGAGGAGGCTTAAGGGTTCGTGGTGGAAACTTTTGCTGTATTTCCAATCCTGGCAATGTTCCGAGGTGGCTTGGAGGACTCAGGGAACCAGGTGCGGATTTCCGGCGCATCGATTTACTGAGAGGGGGAATGGGGGTGTGAATTAATTCACTGGTTCAGCTTCAGCAAGCAACATGACAGAAGCAGACTGCAATGTTGGAGGGGGAAACATTGTTAATTTTTCACGTCCATATAAACACACGTCTCTCCCCTGTTGACCGAGGCAGCTTCATTTTGACTCAAACCATCCATGTTCAAGGCAGCGTAAGTAACTCCCTCACATTTGTTCCCGTGCACATCGGAATACTCATCCTGCATTGAGCAACATGGGAAGTGGCGTTTGTAAAGTATACACCAATATCTTGTACCTTTGTTTCTTTCAACAGGTTTATTTTATTTGTCTATCTATCTCAATCTCTCAATTCCCGTCAATCCCTTTCTCGCTACCCCGACACCATGTTTTATTTTGTCTTTTTGGAATCTTGATTTGGCTGAGAATTTAAGAGGATTGGTTGGTAAGCTTGCAGATGATACCAAAACTGATAGTATCTGTGAAGAAGATTATCTAAAAGTACAACAGGATTTTGTTTGAATAGGCCAATGGGCTGAGGAGTGGAGATGGAGTTTAATTTAGTCAAGCAATCCTGGGCAGAACCTACATAGTTAATGGTAGAGCTGTGGGGAGTGTTGTTGACCAGAGGGACCTAGGTGCGCTGGTTCATAGTTCCTTGAAAGTGGCAGCGCAGGTAGACAGGGCAGTGAAGAAGGCATTTGGCATGCTTCCCTTCAATGATCAGATCATTGAGTGTAGGAGTTGGGACATCATGTTGTGGCTGGACAAGACATTGGTAAAGCCATTTTTAGAATACTGTGTAAATTCTGGTTGCCTGTTATACGAAGGTTGTTGTTAAACGAGAAAGGGTACAGGAAAAATATATAAAGCTGTTGCTGGGACTGGAGATTTTGAGTTATAAGGAGAGGTGGGACATGGAAAGCTGAGAGGTGACTTTATAGAGTTTATGTAATCATGAGCAGAGTTAAGGTAAATAGCCAAGGTCATTTCCTCAGGCTAGAAGTGTTCAAAACTAGGTTGAGGGTAAGAGGGAACGATTTGAAAGGGACCTGAAGGGCAACTTTTTCATGCAGAGGGTGGTGTATGTATGGAATGAACTGCCAGAAGAAGTGGTAAAAGCGGGTACATTAAAACATTTTAAAAAGTAATTGGACAGGTACATGGATAGGAAAAGTTTAGAGGGATATGGCCAAATGCAGCAAATGTGACTAGTTCAGTTTAGGAAACCTGGTCAGCATGGTCAAGTTGGACTGAAGGGTCCGTTTCCAAACTGAATGACTCTATGACTCTTTCTTTTAAATGTCCTTCCTATGTTTATCTCTGTTTCCATATTTTGTTGCCTTTCCCTCCACTCTCACCACCATCTGCCCATTTGTCTCTCTGTTTGTGTTGATTTTCTGCATCCCTCTCCATCTCACTCTCATCATTCTCTTTCTTCCTACCTGTTATTTCTGTCCATCCACGCAACCCCACCACCTATGGTCTCTCTCTCTCTCTCTGCCAATCTAACCATTCTTGTTCTTTTCTTCCTCACCCTCAAAATATATCCTATATCCCCGGATTCTGTCTCTCTACAGGAGAATCTAATCAGACTTTATGTAGCAAGAAAATAAGTGATTTGAATTTGACTAAATTGCATGCTTACCATTGTTCTATGATGGATCAAATTGGCACTGTAATCTGGGATAAAAGAAGCACATAAATTGAGTTTTTCTGTGCCTGTCTTAGCACCGAGACTTAGTAGTTTATGTTGTCAATTGTTGCTAAAACGCAGTGCCCGCTGATATATAGGCCCAAAATTTAAACCAAAAACAACCATAGCCCCACTCTTGCATTGGAGAGAGACATCTGGTTGTGGTTTAACCTGAGGGTCACTGTACCTCATGTGAAGGAGAGGTGAAGATAGAGAGCCCTTCATGGTAATGTCAGCCAGTGGGAATGAACCCATGCTGTTGGCATCACCCACCAACCATCCAAGCAAACCACCCTTGCCTAACCTGCAGTCTGTTAAATAGTGACAAATAATGTCTGTGAGATCTATATTCTATGCAATAGGATAATCCCTGGAATGGAGGGATTGTCTTATGAGCTAAACAGGTTGGGACTGTACTCACCGGAGTTTAGAAGAATGAGAGTTATCTCATTGAAACAACTAGGAGCATGACAAGGTCAATGCTGAGAGGATGTTCCTCCCTCATGGGAGAGCCTAAGACCAGAGGACACAGTCTCAGAATAAAGGGTGCCAATTGAAGACTGAGATGAGGAGGAATTTATTCTCTCAGACGGTTGTGAGGCTTTGGAACTCCTCATCACAGAGAGCTGTGTGTAGGGGGGAGGGGGTGTTGCAGCATCCTTTTGTACATTTAAGGCTAAGGTAGATAGATTCTTGATCTGTCAGGGAATCAAGGCTTACAGGGAAAGTGGATATGAGACATGTTGGATTAGCCATGATCCTATTGAATGGCAGAGCAGACTCGAGGGTCCGAACAGCTGACTGCTGTTCCTATTTCTTATGGTCTTACGCTCTTGTGGACTGTTCCCAATCATGGGGCTCCATGCAAATTCTGAACATGTTTTGTAAGTTACAGCTTTATCCAATTGGTGCAAGCCAGTGTCCAGATGAAAGGCAACATAACGTGGACAATTTTGCCTCCTCCTTTACAGAGAGGAAAACACACCACCCACCATTTATTCCAAGGCACTGGGTCTTTTTGATGAAACAGTTCCTTCACTCTAACAGCCTTATACGGTATTGGAAAATCAGGCCGTAAGGATGGGTTACATCTCTGTCATTTACATTACAGACAAATTTTGAGGATAGATTTGGCCAACAGTGAACGCAAACCCAATGGTATCATCTCAAATGTTTGCTTCTACATCGTGTGCTTGACTTCATTTGAAGTGAATCTCCAACATAATAGAGATAGAGTCCTGAATGAAATTGCTTGTGTTTTGTCTGACAGCCCTTTAGCTAGCCCTTTTGAAGAAGTGTCACTGGACTAGAAATGTTAATTCTGTCTCTCCCTGTCTAAACAGATGCTGCCATACCTACTGAGTTTCTTCAACACTTTCTGTGCTTATAACTTGTAAAGTTAACTCTGTTTCTTTCTTTATCTCCCTCTCCCTCTCTCTCTCTCTCTCTCATGCGCTACACCACATTCAGATTATTTCAATGCTTGTTTCTGATGTTGTGGCTCTATCTGAACAGGAATGAAGTTTAGAATTTCTCCACTAAAACCATTAACACATTTTTCATATTAAGAATCACACAGAAAGATGTTACTCTGCATCACAGTCATTACAACCAGTCACTAACATCAGTGATATACTTACAAATGCGATCATGGCCATCGTGTGTATTTTGAACTGCTGAGGGAGCAGTCCTGGAAAATAAAGACATATGTTGACCCAAATGTGATCCCGATATAATGGGAATTAATGGCACAAAAATCAATAGGGAATAAATACTAAATATAATGATGTATTAATGTACAACTATATATGTTGCATAAAGTCAAATGTCGGATTAACATGAGTCATTTAACATTCTCACCTCTGAATAGTTTGACTTTTATATCGACCTGAGGGATATAAATCATAATGCAATGGTGAAATGCCTTGAACATGATGGTCAATGTCAATAATATAAAACAAAGAACAGCAGGATGTTGGATATTAGAATCAAAAACAGAGAATGTTAAAGAAATACTGCATGTCTGACACCATCTGTATAGACAGAACAAAGAGAAATCTGAAGCAGGAAGGGACTTGGGAGTCAGAGTTCAGGATTCTCTTTAGGTTAACAGGCAGGTCCAGTTGGCTGTTAGGAAGACAAATGCAATGTCAGCTTTCATTTCGAGAGAGTTGGAATACAGAACAGAGATGTGCTACTGGGGCTGTACAAGGGTCTGGTCAGATCGCATTTGGAATATTGTGAGCAGTTTCAGGCCCCATATCTAAGCAAGGTTGTGCTGATTTGAAGAGGGTCTAGAGGGTTTTACAAGTAAGATCCCAGGGATGAAGGGCTTCATGGAGTTGAGAAGTATGAAGGGGAATTTGATTGAAACTTAGAGAATATTCAGAGGCTTGGATAAAGTGGACATGAAGAAGATGTTTTCACAAGTAGGAGAGACTAGGCCCCGAGGATACAGCCTCAGAGTGAGGGGATAACTATTTAGAACTGAGAATAGGAGGAATTTCTTCATCAGAGCTGGTAAATCTGTGGAACTCATTGCCACACAAGACTGGAGACCAAGTCATTGGAGACCAAGTCATTGTATTTAAGACAGAGACAGATAGGTTCTTGACTGATGAAGGAATCAAGGGTTACAGGGAGAAGGCAGGAGAATGGGATTGTGAAACATAACAGCCATGATAAAATTGTGGAACAAGGTCAATGGGCTGAATGGCCTAATTCTGCATCCATATCTTATGGTCTTATGATCTCTTTAAGCTGTTTGACAGGGTCAATACTGAGAGGATGTTTCCCCCTCAAGGGAGAGTCTAGGACCAGAGAGCACAGTCTCAGAAGAAATGGGTGCCAATTGAAGATTGAGATGAGGAGGAATTTCTTCTCTCAGAGGGTTGTGAGCCTTTGGAACTCCTTGCCACAGAGAACTGTGTGAGGGGAGGGGCAAAGATCTTGTGTATATTTAAGGCTGACGTAGATAGATTGTTGATCATTCAGGGAATCAAGGGAAAGGACAGGAAAGTGGATGTGAGGAACGTGGGATCAGCCATGAACCTACAGAGCAGGCTGGAGGAGTTGAACAGCCGACTGCTGTTCCTGCTTTTTATTGTATATGAACTTGGAAATTTTAACTCTGTTTCTATCTCTCCCTCTCTTTCTCTCTCTCCCTCTCTTTCTCTCTCCACAGATGCTGCCAGACCTGCACTTTCTGTGTTTATAACCTGTAATGTTAACACTGTTTCTCTCCCTGTCTCTCAGCACAGATGTTGCCAGATCTTCTGTGTTTATCCAGTGATTTTTGTTTTACTCAATTTTTGAAAATCCAAAATGATTTAACTGTCAAATGGGGTAGATTCGAAACTTTAAACTGAAACCTCCCAAAAACGAAATATTAAAGAAAACTAAGAATATGACCACTCTAGACACACAAAGATCAGAATACAAGACAAAAAAAGAACACAGTCATGTTTTTCCTGTTGAAATTTAGAATCCTCACAGTGCTGAAAGAGGCCATTTGAACCTACACTGAGGACATCCCACCCAGAACCACCCATACCTGTAACGCCACATTTCCCATAAGTAACTCACCTAAGCCCTGGGCACCATAGAGCAATTTAGCATGACCAATATACCTAACCTGCACATCTTTGGACAATGAAGACAGTATACAAACGGTCACATGAGGCCAGAATCAAACCGAGGTCCTCAGTGCCGTGAGGTAGCAGTGCTCACCACTGAGCTACCATGCTGTCCCGTAGTGACTAACAGATTGTTAAGGACAATCAGTTGGTAAGCCATCGTCATTTGCTTCTAAAAGGATGTTCTGTGGTAAATTTTGTGAAATGACTGTATGGAACAGGCTGTTCAATGAAAATGTTGTAAGCTGCAGGCGATAATTGTAAACACTTGCAGCTGTTTCTACTCTGAGTACCTCTCCTTTCATTCAAGGACAACTCAGGTTGAATTCAGGATGGGGAGATTATTCTTTTGACACAATACATTATAATGTAGCTACTAAATATGTTGTCTCTTTGATTCGCCACTCATTGCTTTTGCACTCAGGAAAGTAGTAACAGGAGTAGGCCATTCAGTCCCTCCAGCCTGTTCTGTCCTTCAATTAGATCACAGCTGATTTGTGGCCTAACTCCATAGACATGCCTCTGATCCATGTCCGCTTCACAGCTTTCCTTATCAAAAAACTTCTCTCTCTCTCAGATTGAAATGAACAACTGATGCAACATCCATTGCCTTTTCAAATTAAGCTGTGGGTCTATATGGAGGGAAAAGGAACATGATTGGACACCTCTTGTGAATGTATTAATGCCCAAGTCAGCTGGACAAACCACATGGGTCATTCTTTATCATCTTGTAATTTGTTTGTCTTTCTGTGAACAGAATAGCCCGTGTGAGCCCCTCATTGAAACATAGGGAGGTATCGGTGTGTTGGCAATGTTACTGGGACATTACTCAGAGTTGCAGGCAAAATACCTGGTAGTGCCATTGCACTTGCAACCTATGCCCAATTTCTAGAGCTAGAATTTGAAGCTCATGATGAACTTGGCCTTAATTGTGGTTCAAAGCTGATTGCTGTTTTTCTTATTCATTCATGGGGTGTGGACATCACTGTCCTGGCCAGCATTTATTATGTAATTGCCCAGAGGGCAGTTAAGAGTCAGCCACATTGTGGTGGTTCTGGAGTCATGTAAGACCAAGTAAGGATGGCAATTTCCTTCCCTAAAGGGCATTAGTGAACCAGATGGTTTCAACAATGGTTTCATTGTTGTCATCAGACCCTAATTCCGGATATTTATTAAGTTCAAATACCACCATCTGCCACAGCAGAATTGGAACCTGGATCCCCAAAACATTTCCTGGGTCTACAGTTAATAGATTAGTGATAATACCACTAGGCCATCACCTCCCCATAACTTTTTGACAGTTAATATCCTTCAGGAAAGGAGATCTACCATTCGTAACTTGTCTGACTTGTATGTTTTTTAAAAATTATTCACGCCTGGGACGTGGGCATTGCTGGCTGGGCCAGCATTTATTGCCCGTCCCTGGTTGCCCTTCGAGAAGGTGATGGTGAGCTGCCTTCTTGAACTGCTGCAGTCAGTGTGGTGTACGTTGACCCACAATGCACTTAGGGAGGGAATTCCAGGTTTTTGACCCAGCAACACTGTTGGAACGGCTGATATATTTCCAAGTTGAAATGGTGAATGGCTTGGAGGGGAAGTTGCATGGGGTGTTGTTTTCATGTATCTGCTGCCCTTATCCATCCAGATGGAATGGTTGTAGTTTTGGAAGGTGATCTCTGAGGAGCTTTGGTGAGTTTCTGCGGTGCATCTTGTAGATGGTACACACTGCTGCTACTGAGCATCGGTGGTGGAGGGAGTGGATGCTTGTGAATGTGGTGTCAATCAAGCAGGAGCAGCTTTTGTCCTGGATGGTGCTGAGCTTCTTGACTGTTGTTGGAACTGCGCCTAACCAGGCAAATAGGGGGTATTCCATCAAACCTGTGCCTTGTAGATGGTGGACAGCCTTTGGGGAGTCAGGAGGTGAATTACTCACTGCTGGATTCCTAGCCGCTGACCTGCTCTTGTAGCCACTGTATTTATATGGCAAGTCAAGCAGAGTTTCTACAACTTCAGAATTAAAGCAATGATGTTAACTCTTAACAGTCCACTGATACGGTCTCAGAAACAACAACAATTTATAATGGGCGAGAGCTTCTGGTTTTGCCAGAGACATCCACATCCCATCAAAGAATAAAGAAAAAAGAAACACAGTGAATAGAAAAGAGAAACAGACTCGCTAACTTCCATAGGGGGTCACAGTTAAAGGTGCTATCAAAGTGCAATTCTTAACGTTATGGCTGTCCACAAGGCTTGCCTCAATTCTGCATTTCTCTCAATCAATTTTACCGACATCAAGCAGCCCCCTCCAAATTGCCAGGGACATGTCTGCATGCGAATACTTTCTTGTGCTAAAAAAGAAAAGAGCAGTTGGGCAAGATAAGAGATGTCAGGAGTGGGGGTGAAAATGCTGGAGACAGGGATTTCCGCAGTGGTTAAAGAAAATTACCAGGAGAGAGCAAATCCACAATGTAATGGTTAACTTTGTGTCAAAGTTCAATGTCAGAGATCAAAATGGTCACCATCATGTGGGTGGAGAAACATCCCCTCGAAAGCAAATAAATGCAAAAGAAATTTCAGATGCCTTTCATAATTGGTATGTCATTTAATGTTGCCTGCAGAACATTGTCATAAAAATTCTAAAAGATAGTACCCGCAAGCTTTTTCACCCAGGACAGGCGAGTCCACAACTAGACAGCATAAGTGTAAGGTGAGAGGGGAAAGATTTATAAAGGACCTAAGGGGCAAATTTTTCGCGCAGAGTGTTTATGGAACAAGCTGCCAGAGGAAGTGGTGGAGGAGGGTACAATTACAACATTCAAAAGACATTCGTACAGGTACATGGATAGGAAAGGTTTAGTGGGAAATGGGCCAAATGCAGGCAAATGGGAAACCTGGTTGGCATGGATGAGTCGGGCTGAAGGGCCTGTTTCCATGCTGGATATCTCTATGACTCTGTGACTCTATAGTCCACCATTGAATGTTTAGCAATGGCTTGTTTCTGTCACACCAGTTGATTTAAAAAGAAATTCTCATCTGAAATATAAAAGAGAACAGCCCAGTGCTGTCACATTCCTCCTAACCTGTTACATTACCCTTTTCAATAAGTTACCTTTCTTGATAATTATAAGGCAGAGCACCACAATAATCACAGCAGTACATCCCAGTCCGACGTAGAGATATAATCTCATCTGCGCATCTATGCAATGCAAAAGAATGAGAGTCACATTGATGAACAGCAAAGAAACATCAGCATGTCTGACTGGAGAATAATACACACCCTGAAGCATCAGATGGTCCCTTTTTAACACATGTTCTCAATTAACCAATAGATATAGCCAATGGACATTTAAAGGCCTTGCACAGCTTCATGTTCCTGAGCTTTGAATCAGAACGAATATCTGGTACGTCCATAATGCTCACCATGTCTAGGTACAGAGGGAAATTTCCCAGGATGTTGTTTTGGGGGCTGGAGAGTTTCAGTGATAGTGAGAGATTGGGTAGACTAGGATTATTTTCCTCAGAGCAGAGGAGATTGAGAGGGGGACATGATTGAAATGTATAAAATGATGAGGTGTATAGATAAGGTAGACAGGAAGAAACTTTTCGCCCTTGAACTATGATTAGGAGGCAGAAGGCCAGAAATTGAAGGTAAGGGTCAGGAGGTTTAGAGGAGTTGCAAGGAATTTTGTTAATACCCAGAAGGCAATGGAGCATGTGGAACTTCAGTCTCTGTAAGGGTGGGAGAGGCAGAAACCCTCATCACGTTGAAGAATGATTTAGATGTGCACTTACAATGCCAAGGCAAACAGGCTATGGGCTGGCCAGTGGGACGAGAGAATAGTTATTTTTGACTAGTACAGATTCAATGGGCAGAAGTGCCTCTGTGTCTCTATGACATGCAATTTCACAACTCCCACTCACATCCAATATTGCCCGAAAGCATTCCCTGTTTATGCCCACTGTTTGTTATTTTAATTATTTCTGCCCCTCTGGTGGATAATCTTGTAGAGGTTTTGCCTGTTCTGACAAATTCACAAATATGCATCTTTCCTTCCAACTCAAAAGCAACTGAGGAATGTTTGCTGCAAATCAGAGAACTGAATGGTCGAATGGTCATGTTTGACAATGCATAGACAGCTCTCTGTCAAAGCTTAGACATTATATCCTATTGATCAATGTCAGTACCATCTGTCATTGTTTGTGAAACGAGATGAAGTCAGCCAATTCAGAAAAAGATAGATGCCTACCAGGAGAAGGGGCTTATAAAATATAGGAGGTCTGGTTAGCATGTTTGCAGATGACACCAAAATTGGAGATGTAGTGGACAGTGAAGAAAGTTATCTCAGAGTACAATGGGACCTTGATCAGATGGGCTGATGGCCCGAGGACTGGCAGATAGAGTTTAATTTGAATAAATGTGAAGTGTTGCATTTTGGTAAGAAACATCAGGGGAGGAGTTATACACCTAATGTTAAGATCCTGGGCAGTTTTGCTGAGCAAAGAGAGCTTGAGGTGCAGGTTCATAGTTACTTGAGGGTGGAGACACAGGTAGACAAGGTGATGAAGAAGGTATTTGGTATGCTTGCCTTCATTGGTCAGTACATTCAGCACAGGAGTTGGGATATCAGGTTGTGGCTTTATAGAACATTGGTTAGGTGATTTTTGGAACACTGCATTCAATTCTGGTTGCCCTGCTGTAGGAAGGATGTTGTTAGACTTGAAAGGGTTCAAAAAAGATTCACAAGCATGTTACCAACGTTGCAGGGTTTGAGCCATAGGGAGAGGCTGAATAGGCTGGGGCTACTTTTCCTGGAGTTTTGCAGGCTGATAGAGATATATAGAGATTAACCTCTTAGAGATCCATGAAATCATGAGGGGCACGGATAGGGTGAATAGACAAGATCTTTTCCCCAGGGTAGACGAGTCCAAAACTAGAGGGCATAGGTTTAAGGTGAAAGGGGAAAGATTTAAAAGGGACCTGAGGGGCAACTTTTTCACACAGAGGGTGGTGTGTGTATGGAATGAGCTGCTAGAGGAAGTGGTGGAGGCTGTTACAATTGCAACATTTGAAAGGCATCTGGATGGGAATAGGAAGTGTTTCGAGGGAAAGGGCCAAATGCTGGCAAACGGGGCTGGATTAATTTAGGATATTGGTTGGCATGAACAAGTTGGACTGTGCTGTGCATCTCTATGACTCTACACATACACACAGATCTTTGATCAAATTGTAACAATTTGAAACGCAGGGATAAGACAAGCTTAAAACATGAAGCAGTATTAATCATTGATTAGTCTTTTTGTAAATATCAACTGGATGAAATTAAACTGGCAATTTCTATTACCAGTATGTATTTATGAAAATAAAGAAGACATTAAGGCACAAGAACATGTAATTACCTTTTGATGTGTGACCCTCCTTTCCTCGCTCCACAACTGCAACAGATTGGCTGAACGGAGAAGTGATGACATGTCCGTTAACCTCTGTTTCATATTGACAACTGTAGTTTCCTACAGAAATTGGTTCATGGATATTGATGGTAAAGAACGCTATATTTTCAACTCCAGACACAGGACGTTCCTGTGTAAAATCATTTTTCTGACTGTGGCACAGGTTGAATATTCCTCCTCTGGGGCGAATATCACCTTTGCAGGAAATCACAACATAGTCCCCACTTGAACTGGAACCTGAATCTGAGAGCACTTTGATCATCGGTTTGGAGAGTTCATCTGTTACATCATGTTAAAATAAATATATTTACAAAAACATTTACTTATACTTATTAAAGCTTGAAAGGAGAAAGGTGCAGAAGAAAACAATTGCACAGTCCAGAGGGAGACCTTAACAGCAACAATTCTCAAATCAAATTGCAATCTAATATGTCATATAAAAATAATGACATTGTACTTTAACACACAACACAATGTAATGTTAGTCTTGATTTAAATAAATTTTCCTTATTCACAAGAAATGGGCTGTGTGGGGTGTATCATAAATGCTTCAAACTTTATGTCAGGGTAATATTACAATATAATACCAGGCAGCTCCACCAAAGCACACAGGATCACTGGGACATAGAAATGTGCTGGCTCCACACCATTCTACAGAGTGATCCCGGGACAGGGAAAGAGTTTACGTCTGCCCCGTGGATCATATATGTCCTTCCTTTGCCTAATTAACGATTAGACCTGATTGAAATTGCTACTTCTCAATAAGCTCTCAGAAAATTGGTACAAATGGCTGACAGCTTGTATTCAGTGACTGTGATCACAAACCTCTGTAAAATCCAAAACTGATCACCTTGCAAAGCGTCAAATGAGCCGTAATAAGACTGACTTTGGGGCCCATCAATTTAGTGATTGCTGACAGCGGTCTGCATCCCACCCCATGCGGAAATGAAGGGTGCACTTGACGAAGTATACAATGCTACAAACAGCCTTGAGATGGAATACCCCAAGGCCTTGTTCATTGTAGTCGATGATTTCAACCACGCCAACCTCAAGAACGTACGACCAAGATATCATCAACACATCTCCTGTCCTACCAGAGGGCTGAGCATTCTTGACCATTGCCATACAATCATCAAAGATGTCTACTGCTCCATTCCCTGTCTGCATTTTGGAAAATCCAATCACAACACTGTGCTCCATCTCCCGGTTTACAAGCAGAAATTGAAGCATGAGGACCCAGTAGAAAAAGTTATGCAGTGTTGGTCTGAGGCAATGGAAGGTCTTCTGTGAAATTGTTTACAGTCAGTGGACTGGTCCAGATGCAATGAACTCAGTTACCAACATAAATGTGTATGTCACTACTGATACAGGCTTCATCAGGAAGTGTGTAGAAGACCGTGTGCCAAAGAAGTTAATCCAAATCTTCCCCAAACAGAAACCATGGATGAACCAGGAGATCCACTCCCAACTGAAGTCCAGATCTGAAGCATTCAAGTCAGGTGGCACGGTAGCTCAGTGGTTAGCGCTGCTGCCTCACAGCACCAGGGACCTGGGTTCGATTCCACCCTTGGGTGATTGTCAGTATGGTGTTTGCACATTGTTCCTGTGTCTGTTTAGGTCTCATTTGCTTTCTCTGGTGTCCTCCCACAGGGCGAAGATGTGCAGGATAGGTGGATTGGCCATGCTAAATTGTCCGTAATGTCCAAGGATGTTTAGGTTAGGTGGGTTAGACATGGGAAATTCAGGGTAGAGGAATGGGTCTGGGTAGGATGCTGTTTGGAGGGGCAGTGTGCCTTATCGGGATGAAGGGCCTGTTTCCACATTGTAGGGATTCTATGATTTAAGTTGGGCAACCCTGACATACTGGAAATCCAGGTTCAACCTTTGTAAGGCAATCAGAGAAGCCAAGAGCCAATACCATACTGAGCTTGAGACCCAGACCAACCACATGGACACCCATCTACTGTAGCAAGGCTTAACGACATAATGGGCTACAAAGTGAAGTCAAGCAGAATTGCAGGCAACAGTACATTTCTATGCGATCGAGCACAATGCATTTGACATTTGCTTTGAACAGAAGGTTAATGAAATGATGTCCCATATCTCAGCAGTGTCCGATGCACCTGTGCAGATGTTAGATTCGCTTTCTTGAGTGTGAACCCACGAGAAACGCACTGGCCTGGATGGAGTCACTGCTGTACACTCAGATCCTGTGTGGGACTATTTGCTGACATCTTTAACCTCTCCTTACTGTGATATGAGGCTCCCACCTGCTTCAAGAGGCCACCATCATCCCGATGCCAAAGAACAATCATGCAGCATGTGTCAATGACTACCACCTGGTGGCTCTGACCTCCATAATTATGAAGTGCTTCGAGAGCTTAGTCATGGCTCACATCAACTCCAGCCGACCAATTCCCTTGCTCCTTTGCAATTCACCTACTCATGTGACAGGTCCACAGACACCATCTCGGTCGCCCTACTCATCCCTGGAACATCTGGATAACAAGGATACCTACGTCCAGGTCCTATTTATTGACTACAGCTCCACCTTCAACACCATAATTCCAAAAACACTCATCTTTAAACTCTGAGACCTAGGTATTGGCTCCCCCTCTGTAATTAGATTCTCGACTTCCTGATCCATAGACTGCAATCAGTCAGAATAGCGACAACATTTTCTCCACCATAATCCTCAACACCACTGCATACTCGGCCTCCTGCTATACTCCTTATACACTCATGACTGTGTGGCCAAATTCTGTCCCAACTCCATTTAGCTGTTTGCTGATGACACCACTGTTGTAGGTTGGAGCTGAAACAATGGTGAGACAGAATACAGGAAGGAGATTATGTGCTTGCTGTGAAGACAGAAATCTTTCCATCAATATCAGCAAAATGAAGGACCCAGATATTGACATCAGTAAGCGAAGTGGAGGGCACACCCCTGTCTGCACCAATGGTGGAGATGCTCAAGAATGTCATGTTTCTGGGAGTGATGATCACTAACCATGTGTCCTGGTCCACCCACATCGATGCGATGATCAAGAAAGCACAATATCTCTAGTTCCTCAGGAGGTTAAGGAAATTCAGTTTGTTCACAATGACTCATCAATTTTTATCGATGCACATAGAAAGCATCCTATTTGTATGCATCACAGCGCAGTATGGTAACTGCTTTTCCCAAGACTGCAAGAAACTACAGAAAGTCGTGAACACATCTTAGTCCATCATGCAAACCAGCCTTCAATTCATTGACTCCATCTACATTTCCACTGTCTCGGGTAAACAGCCAACATAATCAAAGGCCCATCCCACCCCAGTTATACTCTATTCCACCATCTTCCATCAGGCAGAAGATATAGAAGTTTGAGTACACCTACAAGCAGATTCAAGACCAGCTTCTTCCCCACTGTTATCAGACTTTTGAACGGACCTCTCAAATATTAATTCTGATCTGTCTCTCTCTACACCTTCTATGTGCCTGTAATACTGCATAATGCACTCTGTTCTGCTACCCTGACGCACGTTGTATGGTATAATCTGTATATCACTTAAAACAACGTTTTTCACTGTGTATTGGTACATGTGAAAATAGTAAAACACCAAACACAAGGAGAAATGGTTTAATGACATACCTCCGACACGTATCTGAATGGGGTCAGTCATTCCTGATCTTCTCCATGTTCCATTCTCCAACTGTAAGAAACATTCACAGTTGTAACTTGTTTTACCTTTCCTTAAATATTTCAACGGAAATGATGTTTCACATTGTCCTTCAGAAAGTTCTGCTTCCCTGCATTTGGAATTGTAGCACGAGTGTATTCTTGTGACTGGACATTGACAGCTGCAGCTCACCGATGTTGACTCTCCTCCCAAAAACGCCCCATACGAAGGATTCAGAGACACAACCGGCTTTGGAAAATCCCCTGAGAAATGCAATTAAAGCATTTTATCGGCATAATACGTTTAATCAAAATGGCTGAACATGTTACAAGAAGCTGACTTCATGTGCCCTTTACTGCACCATGATTACACAGTGATATGGACTCAGTTTCAGATGATAGTGCCTAGTGCATTGAATTCTTAAAGTAAATCTCACTGATTTAAATTAATCAAACATGTATGGGGATACTTGACAACAAGGTGCAGGGCTGGATGAACACAGCAGGCCAAGCAGCATC